AAAAATTAAAACTAAAGCAAATGAATGAATGAATGAAAAAATTGGGTTAAGGTTCTGAGACAGAGTTCTCAGAAATGAAATAAAAATGACTGATAAACATTTTTAAAGTATTCAACATAATCAGCTTTCATGTAAGTGTAAATTAAAAATACTTTGAGACTCCATCCCTATCATTCAGATTGATATCAAGAAAGCATATAACAGCAAATATTGAAGATAATATAGAGAGAGGGGAACACACTTAGTACTGGTGGGTATGTAAACTGGTGTAGCCATTGTGGAAATCTATGTGGCTGTTTCTCAAAAAGAGAAAACCACTGCATGCCTGAATTATCTCCCAAAGTCTCTGTAGTGTATGACAGGTATGTTGTGACCCTACTCACAATAACTAGGAAATAGAATCAGCCTAGATGTCCATCAACTAACAAATTGATAGTGGAAATGTGAACATAGAAGAGGTAGCAGTTGGGAAGAACAAAGGGTCAACAGGAAGAGGGATAAGAGAGGGTAGTAGAGTGTGAGTATCATGACGATACATCAAATACACGAGTACAATTGTTAAAAATAGAAAGAGATGATGATGGAAGACTGGTGAAACCGTCCTCTTTCCAGTTAGTTGTAGAGACCTTCATGACGGAGTCAAGGAAATTTAAATCAAATTTATAAGTTTGCTTATTAAATAACACTAAATATTCTCTTCTGAGTTAAGGGAGTTGGTAACGCTAAATGACAATGGAAATTGCGTTACATGAGAGGGACATGGAACGCAATTCTAATGGACAATTTGAAGTCCTGGTGGGACATAAAATTAAATTTGATTCTGATTGATTAACTTCTGAGTCCTTCTTACTCAATGTGTAAGTTACATTTGTGAAGTTTTTACAATATATTTCTTGCTATATATCACAATGCTCATTGTTTTAGATAAGCCTTATTGAGGTATAATTCACATATATTCTAATCCCCACTTATATTGTACAGTTAGATGGATTTAGTATTTTGATGTTCTTGCACAGCTGTACAACCCATCCTACAGCCTATTTTCTGGCTGATGTTTAATAATGATTCATTCCTCATTTCTTCACAATGTAGATCATTGTTTCTTAATCATCTCTTCTGGCACTTCTGGACAGATGGTAATTTTTTCTGTTCTTTCATTGGAGGATGTTTGGGACATACCTGGCCCCATGACATCAGCGATATTCCCAGCTACAAAAACAAAGAATATGCTGACACATCACTAAAGTTACTCAAAGTATGAAATCATCCCTTGTAAGGAAACCACTGAGAAGGATGAATTTCATCTCCACTTCAGCCCCTACCATTCTTGTTTTCTATCTATGGTGTGTATTAGACCCTGCCCAACATATGTAAGAACTGCACCTTGTACAGCACATAACATGGCTGGCTTCTTTGGAACTTGTGCTCTCCTGGAATCCCTCTTGGAGAGACTTAAATCACCCCAGAAAACAGTCTGGTCCTTTGCCCTAATAAGTTGTGAGGGCAACAACTCCTGGCTGCTGGCTCCTGCTTCTATAGCATCCATGAGCCGGGATGTGTACTGCTGTTTTCCAACCAAGAATCAGATACTCATCTGCTAGATAGCCTTTATGATAGGAGATTCACATCTGTTCTCTATTGGCTCCATCATAGGCCAACTCTTTTGAGAACATGAAAAGCCCTTACTGAGTCCCATTGAGATTCAGTTTGAGTCTCTTCAAAGGTCCGTTCATTATATAGCCTTCCCTTCATCTCCACTTTTGGTCTTTTATACTATGAATGAAAATTCTTGAAGAGAAGCAAAAATTGACTAAAAATGTAGTGATGTGGAAAGGTTGGGATGTTGTAGGACCAGAGCTAATTATGTTATTTTGTGCTAACTTCAGCACCCTGAATAGCAATTGCTATCCCTTGCTCAACTCTGTGTCAGGACTAACATCCTGTGACTAATAGGTAAAGACCTTTTGAAATCTATTAATTTAGCAGACCTCTAGCTTCCACCAGCCCCAAAGTGAAGACTGTCATCAGATAGCATCTGAGGCCTATAGAAAAGCTTCTCTCAACTTGCTGTAACCACCTCTCCGATGTCTCCATCAATGTATTTTACATGTGCCTTGATTTATGTTTTTTTTTGTTTTGTGAAAGTATGAAACTGCTTTCATGTTGGCACATGGACTTTGTATCAAACTAAATCTTTGTTCCTGGGCCACGGTCACTCAAAATGACTTCAGAACAAATTCTCTCTTATTCCCTTAAAGTGAGAGCTAAGGTTTTTTTCGGTTGTTGTTTTTGTTTTGTTTTTCATCGACAATACCACATTCAGAAATGCATTATCAGAAAATCACTTTGATATCTCTAAGAACAATTTTTGTGTGGTTCACTCTGGTAATCTGATATTTAAACACTCCAGGGTGTTCTGTTTTATCTTCCTGTGGGTCTTGATCTGGTTATTTTTCCTCTTTAATTCCCAATTAAAGAATTAAAGGCAGGAAAAAAATCTCAAATGCAGCAGGGAAAACCTCAGACACAGCAGATAGAATCAGCTAGCAAAGAACGGCTTTTTAACTGACTGTGAACAATCAACTGAGATAACTCACTACCTTCGGACCTGCCTCTGCTTGCAAATGGAGGAGATGGCAGGCACATGCTACCACACTAGCCCAGAAGAACGATTTTTGAATTACATGCTTTCGCCTCTTCTTCAGTCCCAACAACAGCACTCAGACAGACTGGAGAGTCTAGCATCCACTGTCTCCTTTCTAGGATCTCAGTGGCACTTTGTGGCTCTTCCTTGGGCAGATTCTGTATCTTCTAAAGGACTTCTGCAGTTCCAACAACAGGCTAGGTGCACTTCCTCCACAGTTCTGGTGACTGATGATCCCTTCGCATTTTTGTCCTAGATTCAGAGGTGTTAGGTGCTGTCTGAAGTTACTAATCCTGAATTGCCCCCTACCCAACTCCCACCCGCCCCCCAAAAAAAAACAAGCAAGCATCACATTGATCACCATGCAGCAATGATTGGAATCATAATACAAATAGTAACTTGAAACTGTGATCACATATTCAGAAGACTTTTTTCCCCCCAGTTTAGATAAGTATCAATTGTTTAGACAATAATTTGCATTCTTGGATTCTCTAAAGCTCTAAGTTTTTAGTGTAAGTGTTCATTGATAAAATAAACTCTGTATCCAAACTTGACTACATGATATATAGGATATCATATATAGGATTTTTTTTTTTTCAAAAATAGCTTGGGAAATTGCTGAGATTTCTGTAAGTTTAAATACTTTAAAATTTGTTTAAATTTAAAATGGCTGTTAAGAATTATGTCCCTGATACACATAGATCACCCTGGGAAGGGGAAATAGATGAGATCTCCTGGGTAAACTGGGGGTGGTAGAGGGGAGGGGATGGAGGATGGTGACATGAGGGATCCCAATGATCAAGTTGGGGGAGGGATGAAGAGGGAGAGCAACAAAAGAGATATCTGGATAGAGGGGGCCATTGTGGGGTAAAGGAGAAACCTGGTGCTAGGGAAACTCCCAGGAACCCACAAGGATGACCCCAGCTAAGACTCCTAGCAATAGTGGAGAGGGTGCCTGAACTGCCCTTCCCTGTAATCACATTGGTGACTACCCTAATTGTCTTCATAGAACCTTCATCCAACAACTGGTGGAAACAGATGCAGAGATCCACATCCAAGCACTGGGCTGAGCTCTGGGAGTTCTGCTGAAGAGAGGGGATTATATGAGTTAAGGGGAGTCAAGATCATGAAAGGGAAACCCACAGAGACAGATAACCCAAGCTCGGGGGAGGTCACAGACTCTAAACTGATAGCCAGGGAGCCTGTATAGGACTGGACTAGGCCCCCTGCATGTGAGTGACAATTGGGTAGCTTGCTTTGTTTGTGGGGCCCTTAGCAATGTGACCAGGATCTGTCCCTGGTGCATGAGCTGGCTCTTTGGAACCCATTCCCTATGGTGGGATGCCTCACTCACCCTTGATGCAGTGGGGAGAAGCTTGGTCCTGCCTCCACTCGATATGCCATGCTTTGTTGATTCCCATGGGAGGTCTTACCCTTTCTGATGAGTGGATGTGTGTGTGGGTGTATAAAGGAGGTGGAGGAAGGAACGGGAGGAGAAGAGGGAGGGGAAACTGTGGTTGGTATGTAAAATAAATTTTAAAAAATTAGTAAAAAAGAATTATGTCCCACAATAAACTAGTAGGAACCAACATCTGTGACCCTATATTCATTCCAGTCCAGTTTCTGACACCTTACAAAGGTGCACATTATGTTTGATGAATAAAACAGTTTAATCAAGAAAGTACCATAACTGTGATAGATTGCCAGTTACATAGTGCAAAACTTACCATATTCCTGCAATTCCCATAGCTCTAGTTTTCCTTGTTTGGAAACTCAAATTGCACCATCTATTACTTAAACTTTTAAATCCTAGAAAAGCTCCTCCCACCCTAAAACATTCCCCAGAGGTGGCAGCTTGGTCTCACCTCCCCTGGCAATCAAGGCAGATCTTACTTATTGGCTTAGCTGCTGCAGCCAGGTAGCTACTGCTGGCCTCAACTACTGTGCTCCAGAGTCCCCTGCAGAGATATCCCACCAGCCTTTATTACTCTTGTTGACACAGCTTGGCCAGCTCCAGTGGGAAGGTGCCTCTTGTTAGGGAGTTCCCATGGGGACTTCAGGCTTTAATTTACCTTCAAATATTTAGTGAGCTGAGCAATAACCTCCCTTGAATGCAGACCTTTTTATCAGGTCTGATCACCTCCTCTGGGTAAGTCTCTGGGTCGAATTGCATATCCTTCTCATCAGAGCACTTGGATTCTCATCACCAAACAATCTAGATGGACTATGCTAACGTTAACTCTGAAAACATTGGTTTCCTAAAGCTTTTGTCAGCAATCCTGTTGATCTCTCTCTTTTGACCAGTTGTAATCTGATGTACTACAAATAACATACCATTGTTTTTCTTCTGTTATAGCTTATGCAAGCTTCTGAAAGACAAACAAATCTACAATGGTATAAAATACCTTTGGAAATATTTAAAGGACTCACAGAACAATTTATGTGGTATATACTTAGATAAATGCTGTTTCGAAAGATAATTTGGACTTGCCTAAGAGAATGGGAGTGAATTTTCATAACTGGTCTCCAGAACTAACTGAAAGGGCAAGACTGAGTAAACACGTGCCAGAGTCGGTCTGAGTAAACAAAGCCAGAAAGTGGATGAAAGGCTACTGCTGAATCAACAGAGAACAGCTGTCACATTCGTCCCCCAAACTGTGCCCAGATACTTTGGCTATTTCTGAAATGTGACAGTAAATGATTTTTATGAAGAGAACAACTGTGTGTTATTTTATTGCTTGTTTGTTTACCTTTTAGACAGATTCTGACTGTGTAACCCAGCCTGTCCTCAAATTTAGAATCCTCCTTTCTTGGCCTCCTGCAGTCATTTAAGTCCTGAAATAAGCTGTTTTAGTTTGATATTACAAAATAAAGTTCCACGCAGTCTTGCACAGGGTCTAGCACAGAGCTGACCCCTTACCAATACTTATAAGATGAACTAATTATCACTACAGATGTTTAACTTATGTGTAATGAGTAATGGAGAAGCTTGATCCTCTCCCCCCCCCCCCCCGCCCCCAATATGTAACACACATGGCACATAAAGTTCTTAGCTCCCTCCTTGGCACATAATTGGTGTGCATGTGTACCTGAAATGTGAAATTCCAGTTCAAAGTTCAATGGGCCTTGAGCTACATAACTTTCCTCTGTTCTGTGGTGCGGTGGTGGTGTATTGTAGTGAACATGGTTTCCAAAAGCATTATGCTGCTTGAACTTGGGCTCTCAGTGTTAGTAACTGATAATTGTACTATTTATTATGAACACAATGTGATGACTTACATGATGGGCCTATGGTATGAATAAGAGTTCCCAAGAGATTTTGGTATTTCCTTCAGTCTGTTGTGATCGACAAATACTTGCTTATTGATGTCTTTGATGAACTTTAAGGCAAATTTTATCTCAAAAAATCCCCCCAATCTAATTACATATAGCTACCATCTTACAGATATATATATATATGTATGTATATATATATATATATATATATATATATATATATATATATATATATATATGAACAATATAGAGGTTACCGGCAGGTTACTCCTTAATCACTTCTTTAACTTAGGAAAGAGTTAAAACTACCCACTGAGCATAATTTCCAGATCTCAGCTAAGTGGAATTCAGAAAACCTAACATTTATGTTTATTAAAAATGAAATATTTAGAGTAATATATGGATGAAAAATATTGTTTAAAGTGCCATAGTATCCCTTGGTCAGCATTCATTCCTCAGACAGTGTTTCAATCCTACAGGCTTGAATTTTGCAGGTGAGGGAGCTTATTATGTTTGATGAATAAAATAGTTGAATCAAAAAAGTACCATCACTGTGATAGACTGCCAACTGCATAGTGCAAAGCACTATTTCAAGTCTGGTATGCATTTCTTTTGAATTTGCATCGCTGAAAGCCGGATGTATTCCTACAGTGTGTGACAAGACAGTGTCACTATTTTACTTAATGCCTTCCTAACTTCTTCACACTCAGAGTCCTTCTTTGGGGTCACCCTTTAGTTATGCCATCCCTGGACATAATTTCCATGCAACTGTTGTTCTCTGGTGTGTCAAGATGAGGCAATTGTTAAAGCAGTTCATGAAGGAACTAAGTTGCATTGATCCCGAACGCTAAGCCATCTTTGGACGTATTAACATTTCCTTATTTTGACATTGGGTTTGTTGATAAATGGAAGGATAGCACCAACTCTATCTTTCTTCCATATGACCTTTCAGGTTATGCATTCAACCTTTTAGTTTACTTGGATTAAAAGATTGCACCAATATAAAGACCCCATGAAAAAAGTTTGTCAGCTACTCAAAAGGTTGAACAGAGAAGTACTATGGCTCTCATAAAGTTCACTCTTAGGAAATGTCCAAAAGAAATTAAATCTGGGCTTTAAATAGATAATTGTACATCAGTGTTCATAATAGCACTGTTAACAGCCAAAAGTAAGAAACAATCCTATTGTCCACAGACAGATGCAGATAGATAAGACATGAACTATAAAATGTGCATAATGCAAAGCTTAGCCATTGTTCTAGTTAGTGTCTCTGTTGCTGTCATAAAAACACTGACAAAAAGCAACTGGGAGAGGAGAGGGTTTATTTTGGCCCATTATTGAGAGAAATCAAGGTTGGAACTCAAGGCAGGAGTCTAGAGCCAAGGAACCACAGAGGAATGCTGCTTACTAGCCTTCTTCTGCTTGTGTTCTACTTTTTTAGTACAGTTCAGACCCACCTGCCTAAGGACAGTACTACCCACAGTAGGCTGGGCCTTGTGTTTCATTTAGAAACCAAGAAAGTGTCCCGCAAACATGCCCAAAAGCTAATCCAATGGAAACAATTCCTCAGTTGAAGTTCCCTCTTCCCAGGTATGTCAAATTGGCAGCTAGAAACTATGACAGCCATATAAATAATGTAATTTTGTATATGCTACATTTATAGACCTCAAAAATTGTATTAAGGATAGTAAGTCTCACACAGAGGGACAGTACTGCTTTGTTCCACTTGTATGAGGTACTCAGAATAGGTAAATTCATAGAGGCAGAGACTAGAATAGAAGCTACCAGGAGATAGTGAGTTCATTGTGGATGAATGCATTTAATATCAATTATCTACTTATGAGCTACTGAAGTGATATATATGTATATATACACACATATGTATATATAGTGATAATATAATATAATATAATATAATATAATATAATATAATATAATATAATATAATATAATATAATATAATATAGTATAATATAATATAAATATTTTACTGGTCATATTTTACTGCCAAAAGTAAGGGTATGAAAGCTTATGCTATGATTTTATCTCTGACTTTGCTTCAACATCCCTTACATTTCCTCTGCCAACTTTCCTGTCTACTATCCTATCTTCCTTCCAAATAGATTAGACCAGAAAAGAAAATCCCCTCTGCCACATAATAATCAAAACAATAAACATATAGAACAAAGAAAGAATATTAAAAGCCACTAGGAGGGCTGGAGAGATGGCTCAGAGGTTAAGAGCACTGGCTGTTCTTCCCGAGGTTCTGAGTTGAATTCCCAGAAACCACATGGTGGCTCACAACCATCTGTAATGAGATCTGGTGCCCTCTTCTGGCCATGCAGACACAGCACTGTATACATAGTAAATAAATAAATCTTTTTTTTAAAAAAAAGCCACTAGGATAAAAAAGCCAAGTAACATGAAGGCAGATCTATTCAAATTACATCCAACTTTTCAGTGGAGACTCCAAAAGCCAGAAGAACTTGGACAGATGTCTTACAGACTCTAAGAGACCACAAATGCCCACCTAGACTACTATACCCAGAAAAACTTTGAATCATCATACATGGAGAAAAGATATTCCATAAATCTACAAATCCAGCTCTACAGAAGGTGCTAGAAGAAAAACTCCAACATAAGGAGGTTAACGACACCCATGAACACCCAGGAAATAAATAATCCCACATCAGTAAAATCAAAGGAAGACATACATACACCACCACTACCACCACCATCACCACTATCACCACTACCACCAACAACAACAACAACAAAATAACAGGAATTAACAATTATTGGTCATTAATATCTCTCAATACCAGTGGACTCAATTCCCTAATAAAAAGACACAGGCTAACAGAATGGATGCAAAAGCAGGATTCATCCCTCTGTTGTATACAAGTAACACACGTCAACATCAAAGGCAAACATTACCTCAGAGTAAAGGGTTAGAAGAAGGTTTTCCAAACAAATGGACCCAAGAAGCAAGCTGGTGTACTGATTCTAATATTTAACAAGATAGACTTCCAACCAAGATTAATCAAAAGAGATGGGAAAGGACACTTCATACTCATCAAAGGAAAATTCCACTAGGATGATGTTTGAATTCTAAACACCTATGCCCAAATGCAAGGGCACCTACATTTGTAAAAGAAACATTACTAAAGTTAAATTACACATGAACCCTACACATTAATAGTGGGTGACTTCAATACCCAACTCTCACCAATGGACAGATCATCCAGACAAAAACTAAATAGAGAAATAATGAAACTAACAGATGTTATGACTCAAATGGACCTAACAGATAACTACAGAACATTTCATCCAAACAGAAAATAATATATCTTCTTCTTCTCAGCAGCTCATGAAACTTCCTCCAAAACTGGCAACATACTTGGTCACAAAGCAAGTCTCAACAGACACAAGAAAATTGAAATAACCCCATCTATCTTATCAGATACCACAGATTAAAACTGGATTTCAAAAGCAATAGAAACAACTGAGAGCCTACAAACTCATGGAAACTGAATAACTCTCTACTGGGTCAAGGCAGAAATAAAGACTTCCCAGAATTCAACGAAAATAAAAGCTCAACATACCAAAACTTATGCGACTCAATGAAAGGAGTGCTAAGAGCAAAGTTCATAGCACTAAGTGCCTTTATAAAGGAAGGAGATGCCTATAAAGACACAAGAAGCTTCTTGTTTGTAGTTCTGTCACTCTCATGACCTCAGGGACAGCTCTCCCACCTGCCACAGGCAAAGAGGGGTGGGGGGATGTGGGAGGGCATCTTAAAGTTCATGTTAAGGTCTTTTTTCTTGTGATTCTGTTGTGTTGGAATATTCAGGACTTGTAGTAGAGTAGCTGGGTTCTGGTGGTGATATATTGCCTTGGCTATTGTTTCTTGTGTTCTTATGCTGGCCTCTAGACATCTGGGTTTAGAGTAATTAAAGGGCTAGGTACTGGTTTCTGAATTTGTCTTTGTTGGATGGGTGTTTTGTTCCTTGGTTTTTGTTCCTTCTCTGATCTTCTGGTCTATGTGGCCTGGACTTCTCCCAGTCTGGTCTCCAGTAGAGTGGGAAGTCTCTGCCCCAGTTGGAGGTTGGGGAAAGGCAACAAGGAGGGAATAGAACTAATGATAGTGTGGGGAGATGCTGAGATATTGAGAGCGTGGGGGAGTTTGGTCGGCAGGCAGGCTACCTGGACTTCTCTTAGTCTGCTTGGTCTCTGGTAGAGTGGGGAGTCTCTTCACCATTTGGAGGCTGGGGGGGAAAGGCAATTAGAAGGGGGTGGGACTGAAGGATATGGTGGAGGGATGCTGAAATAGTGAGATAGTGGGAGGTTTTGGGGTGGCAGCCTACCTAAATTTCTGCCAGTCTGTCTTATCTCTGGTAGAGCAGAGAGTCTCTTTACCAGTTGAAGTCTGGGCTTTTG